ATGTTCAACTCATGTCTTTCTCCCATCATTCTCCATGTCACCGTAATAAACACCGTATCCAATGTCACTATACTCACTTAACTACTCATACACCTTTTCTTATCCTCACACATACTATAGTACTTTGCTGTATTTAGTACTTCGGCAAACAATTGTATAACATTCATTTGCTATGATGTAAGAGCTAGGCGCCCGATGTAGTAGCTCTCTTCTCGCTTTTTCTCTGAAATTATGTTGCGGACAAAGCGATTCAGACTATGCATAGCCTGACAGAATGCTATACCCATAAAATCCTTCTGGGAAAGCTACGTGCACTTGCAAGAGTTGTGCTTGAAGTGACGCCGTTTTTCCATGGTCGGCGGTTCAGGTCCCAAGTTCAGGCAGTACACTTTGCTGGCTATGGACCCGCCTCCCTCCGCAGCCAGCTTTGAGAGTCGGGATACAGATTTGGATCTCATAATCGGCATGGTGTCATACTGGGATGGTGACGTGACATTCATGGACTTGAACAGAAGCGAAATCCGGAGATGGCTGGACGATGTCAAAGCCCAAACGGTATGATAGCACCTCTTCAGGAAGAGCGTTACAAGTAAATGCTGCAAAGCATTGAGCTTTTTATTGCATTTTGCCAATGGAGGGTTCTGACGCTCGTCTCGAAGTGGGATGCTGTCGTGTTTGGCTGTGCGCGAAAGGTACAATGTTTGGCAATGGCGAACAGCAAAATCGCAGGTTTCTTCTTGCTCTGAATGGCATTTTTGAACGTCTAGAGCGTCATTCATGGCGATTTCACAATGCATGGCGATGGGGGACAGAGAAATGGTCGGTTGTTCTACAATTCCCCAGATGCGACATGCGAATGTAGTGTTCTTATGTGCATACATTTTGATAAAACTCTTTAACTTTTCTTAAACAAACAGAGCAGCTTGTCGAGAATCACGGTGGCATCGACCCCCCAGCCACCGCTTCCTTCCCAGACATAGCATCTGCCCCAGTTTATTGCCTTAAATTCTGATTTGAAGAGTACCAGACGCAATTGCTGCTCCCGGTATCGTCGCTCAGGCATAATGCTGTTGAAGCATCCGCCAGAAGGAATTTGTCGCGGTGCGAATTTGCATCTGAAGAGCAAATGTGTGTACTAACAGCCATTGTTCGAACATTCGGTCATTTATGCAAAGCCGGAATCGTGTTAGACCGCGAAATCTGAATCGGGGCTTGGGGGGCAAAATGTTGTCAACGGCGTTGAGGCGGAAGCTGCCAATATTCAGAATCTAGACTCATGCATGGAAATGCGCAAAATGGTTTCAAGGGTATCTACGTCGAATCTATGAGAAAGCACAATCCATTTTATAAGAGCGTTGATCGATGCAAACATGCTAACCTTTCTTCTGCTTGCAGGAGCCCGTACAAAGAAAGAGACGTGATCACATATTGGCCTTGGTGATTTCTTCCGTCTCTCTGGGTTACTCGGTATGTTAAGAGTCCCACATCCGCCGCATTCGATGTTCCCAGGTTTTGATGTAAACGACACATATATGTTTGGCATTCTTCCCTAAAGAGCGTTCCCCGGATTCCCGATATTGTGTATGTGAATGCGCCATGCATGCATTTCGCCGTGCACAGCACTGGGTGCGCAGGCCAATTTGGTGTTGTCGGCCAGCCGCGTTCGCTCATTCAATGCCGCCCAGGGGGTACGGCGGGTGGAGCGCCAAGTATTTTATAAGCATCAAGGGGGCGAAGGACACTGCCGCTAGAGCCGCATTTTGCAGAAAAATGAGGTTCGGTCGGTACATTAATGCGTGGATATGAGTTCATGAATGTGTTTCCAGCTGTCGACGCATTTGAACGGGCAGGTGTGCACAATCCTATGTGTGACAATTCTGTACATTCTTCTAAGCAAGCGTTCCGTTCCTTTCCGTCATTCCGCATTCTTGGTTCATTTTCTCAGTCTTGTTCATTCTTTTCTAGTTTCCACAGTAACTGGTCGTGCTCTACTTACTGTTCTTAATGAATTTACTCATTCTTTCATTGTTCTTGTTCCGTTCTTATCCACACTTTCTTTCTGTCCAACCCCCGTCGTGTCCTAGAATGAACGTTTTTTTGGCCATTTTGCTCCCGGCGTGTTTGCACCCGTTCCTTCGTTAAAGCCAGCATGCCTACGACAAACCATCCGTTGGCCGATGGCTGCAATGGCAAATTAACAATTGTAATTGTCGACAGGTTTACAAATCGGTTTCCTGGAATTGACCTCTGCCTTGCCCTGGCTCTGTTTTCCTCAGGTGGCGTGCGATCACATTTCTGTGCTGTACCAGAGGGTAAGGGTGACCGTGCAACGCTTCATGCTTTCTCCTCGACTCCCCAGTGGGCTGACATGTGATCCTGTGGCCCAGAGTGGGAGACAGAATGGCAATGTTGCCGATGTTAAATTTCAACTCAGGCAATAATTAGATTTACACATTTTGTACCCTAAAATGGCGTCAATGGGACGGGTCTCCAGACCCACGGTGTCAAGGAAATACCAATTCGACTAAACTGATGGCTACTAACTTGATTTTACTACGCAACTGCCCCAAAGTCACGAACGCCAAGAGGAGGAACGAAAGCACTTCAATTTCACCTCAGTGTTCCTGGAGTTGGACGTTGAACAATGTGTTGTGAATTCTTCCCCCACAAGCTTTGGGTGCCACGGAAAGCGCCAGTACTAGTACTGTCCTCGGCATTTCTCCCGAGAGACCAGGCCAAACAAGTTTGTGCTAAATACCGTCTGGAATCTGGCTGGAAGTTGCGTGGGGAATGGACGATGCAATGCCATTGACGTTAAGCAGAGCAGGGGTGGTCCAGAGTCCATGCATCAGCAATAATGCACCGCTCACACTCGCACCAATTCTTGCCAAATACAATGTCTGGAATGCTAGATTGCAGCTACACGTATTGAAAACCGAGTACATACTTGGTAAATGAGATTTGATGCGGCACTACGTGGCACCGCATATCAACGGGAATGGGCTGGCAACGTTGTGGCTATATCTAAACAGTCATAGATGCCACTTTGCGAGTAACAGGATGGACACCGGGCATATGTCTGCCAGAACAATGGACGCCGAAATCATGTAACGGTTCACGCCACAGGAATCCCCGTAGCGAAAAGGCGAGTCAACTGAAGCACTGGACAAATTTGGCCAAACTGATTGAATTTGCAATTGCATTATCAAAACGCATTGTTGCGGGCGTTTCTGACAGGGTGCTCATGCGCGCAGGGATTTGCAATGTCGTTCCTGATTGGACTGATCTTGTGGACGCATGAATACCTGGATGACGCATTCCAATATTACGTAAGCGCCGCCCCAATTCTGCTCAAAGTATTGTGACCGTTTCTATCGACATCACAGTGCTGATGGTGTTGCAGAAAGCTTAATCAGAAAATTTTTCGAAATAGGCTCTCAGCAATTGCAGCAAACATGGAGCTCATTTGCCCGCGCCGACGTCAGCGGTACCGCAGTTAACATGGCCAGGCATTGTGCGCGCTATGGCTTGTTCATTGTGTCTTTTTATCCATTGTTATCCGCGATTTCACGAGTTTTAATATGCACTACGTAGTATACTAGTGCCCTGATAGGTTAGCAGCCATCTTAATGTTTATCGTTTGTTATTGTTCATCTGTATCATATTTGGTTGCTCTCCCCAAAATCTGATTGGTGTTCAATGCTGTGTTGCTTGATGTACTGGAGCAGGCATCTCTGCCGCTAGAGGACGTCACTGCCATCGCCCTCGCATTGGCAGCAGTGTTTATCAGAGTAAGAACGGACGCACAGCATTAAGTTATTTGTTTCATTTATATGCAGTCGCATGTCATATGTGTTGGTACTGTTGTGGTTATATTCGGAGTCCAAATGAAGAACGGCATTTGCCTTTCGATGCACATTCGCCGTTCTCCCTTTCCAGTACTCAATGATAGTGCCGAAATCAGCCGGCAATGCACAGCTTTTCGGAAAGTTGTGCAACCTTTGCAATGCTGATACTTATATGTGTGAAAAATTTTGTCCAAATTATAATTGTTTGAACGTGCGGATTTTGGAGTGCCTCGAGTCGGTTTTCGGAGAGGGCCTGAGAATGTCTTGTGTTGTTTTGTGTCTTTTCAGGTGGTTATCACTTATTTGCCTCATTTCTATTCCACGGTAAGTGCACATCATTACTCAAGACTATGTCAGTAGTGAAGTTGTTCATTGAATACTATTCAGCGCAGGATGCGAGCAGGTCAAGAGTGAATGGCATATGCATGAGTATTTCTGATGCAGTTGCGTTGTTGGTTGCAAAACCGGCATCCACTGCTAACGGAATGGGTGATAGCTACAGCATTGGTCATTTGTTGAGCTCTACTTATACGCTGCATCTGACCATGGCGGTCCAGTTACAAGTTTATAAAAAAGTTTAAGCAGAGCTTAATTGTTAGCACTTGAGCTGCTGTTAATAAAGAGTATGTCTAAAATTTATGGACAAGTTTGGTGCATTCTTTTATGAATCGAACATTGCACGACCCTGTAACTCGGAACCGTAGTGTTGTGTAAAGTATCTGCTAACCTGCAGTCATTTCCCCCCGATCGTGTGCGTCTTTGCTCAAAACGAATCTGTTTCAGCGATATCGTTCTGCTTTCCTCTGTTAATGCATCACAGTAATGTTCTCCTTCGTACGTCAAATGGGTTAGAAGCATTTGTTGTTGTGCTTTAAAACTGCGCACCAAACACCAGCTGATACCCGCGCCCCTGCAACCTTCAGAAGGAAGCATTCTCTAGGCATGCCTGAACCCCACCGACTATATCCTCACCTTTTGCAAAAGATAACATCCTTCAACATTGACTACGTGTGAATGTGAATTTAGAGGGTAACTTCCAAGAACAACCTTGCAACTAGCATGAACACCAGGCTTAGTATTTATCAGTGCTTGGTAACGCCACTTTGCCCAAGGGTGCTGAAGTATGTTTCGTATCGTGTCCCTGATTTTCAGGTCGAACGAGGTGCGGCGAAGCCCCCTATTTGCGTAATCCACGACGTCCTCCCAGAGGCCAAGAATTTTCCAGACACAGCCCTCGTGGATGCCAAACCCATGGGAGATCACCGCATGCCGAGCCTTGCAAACCACCAGCCTGCTGGAAGCAGAGAGGAGTTCGGCGACGCCTTTGGCGGATAGAAGGACGGGTCGCAACTAGACTGTCTCGGTTGAGCTGAAACTCTTCTGGGCGGCTGAGGATTCGGGACCCCGAAATTCTCTGAAGGGAAATGTCGCGACCAGGAAAATGCCTGCTGACCTGGTGGGCTGGGTTGTATTGGAATGGAGGCACGCAAAGGATTTCGTCCACCCCACGGTGAGAGTGCTAGCAATCGTGCGAATCTGGTGCACAAGGAGTATACACCCGAAGGTAAGCATACTTGCAGCTGTGTGATGTTGCGCACAAGGACCGCACAACTGTGGGTCATGCTGGCGGACTCATGAGTCAGGCGGATGCAACGACTGCGATATGAACGTGGACAAGCTGTGCTGCAACAGTCTCACCATTTTACTATTCTTTTTTCCTTTGTTTCATTCCTGTCTTCATACTTGGAGCCTGCAGGCCAACAAAGCACGGGTTGCTCCCCAGCAGCGAGGCTGGAATGCTGTCGGCTAGAAGGCTGTGGGACTGTGTCTGTGGCGTAATAGCGGTGGCCTTGCCGGTGTTTTGGATGTGGTGAAACAGCGGCGACCGTGCTGAAATTTTGGTGGATGTGGCGAAATAGCGGGGGTGATAATATAGCGGTGGTGGTGATGAAACAGCAGCGGTGGTGGCAAGATGGAGACGGTGAGGCTATAGTAGTGCTCGCGGCGATATATTGGTGGTGGTTATGAAATATGGTGGTCACGGTGCAGTGGTGATGAATGCGGTACTGAAAATTGAGAGCGAACGTACTTAATCTCATTTCTGTAGAGCTGATATCAGGAGAACAATTGGACGAATTTGTGCCATAGGAACTGGCGTACTAATTCTGGGCTCGATGGAGACTCGCCTGAACAAATTGGGCGTGGCGCATTTTCAAAATTGTTGGCCACATTCAACATCCTTGGAGGCGATCGGATTTCTTCAGTGGGCGAATTGAGCAATACTAAACCAAGAAAGCGAGTAACGAGGGTATTAAAACCCAAGGGACGTAGAATGTGAGATTGCGAATGCTATTAAATTGGGGCTGAAGGTTGTGCTGAGCACAGTGTTCCTGAAGGTGTTAGATGGTGGCCCGCGAATGTTTTCCAGCACACCATGATTGTGCTCTGGATGAGAATTGTGGTAGCTTCGCTGATCCAGGGGATGACAAGCGTCCTTTTTCTGGAGATCCTGGATGGAGAAATCACAGAGTGAGATGGACTATGCCTGACCCCATACTTGTTGTGCATCCCTTCCGCTGCGAGCCGGCCTGAGTGATTCTGCCGGCCAAAGATCTGGCCCGTACCGTCCTGGCTTGCTTCGGGCATGAACTGTGCGAAATGACCGCAGGGCAGGGCATGTTCTAATTGCGAGACGGTCTGGTTTAGATGCAGGGACTGTCCCCTGGGCTAAGATGCCATTCTCCTTCATAGCTATGTATGTTTGTCTTTCCGTTTTTTTGGTGGTGGTGAGTGCGGGGGGAGGGGCACGCGGTTTGTGTCGGTCGCAGATGCAGCACCTCGGCCTATGAAGACTAAATGTGTGGCGTTCATGCGTGGTTCTGATACCGTTTCGATTGTGGGACTTTGATGCGGTTCCGAGGCAAATACGATATGTGTTGGATCATTTGATTTGCGAATTCGCTCATCATACATGATGTGCGAGCTCCATAGCCATTGTTTTTGGATCTTCCAAGACTTGATCAGTGCTGGGTGGCATTCGGCGAATGTGGTGTTCAAGTTTCGCACCTTCAAAGTCTTTCCCTGTCTCCCGCCCTCTTACACGATCACTCGTTGATTGAGCTACCTGCGTAGTGAAGGCGAATGTAGATTATTCATGCAGTAACTGATTTCGAGACGAAGGATCTACCGGCCGAAATGTTACTAGGGCATTCGCAAGAAACGGAAGCGCCATTGCAACAGGAAAACGGCACGGTATTACTGCGCAATGTGAAAATTTCAGGGTGCGTTCAGCCACTTAAAATACCCGAGCTACATCTTCAGATACTGCTGTGTCAGCAGGGCTGACAGACAAGCGAGAAAGAGCAATGGAAAACATTATGACTATGGGGGAAACGTAACCGAATTTTTGAGTTCTTTAGCGCAGCTATTCAGGACTTGCACGGTCAAAATAATGCCGCGCGGTAAACTCCGCTTGAGGAAATGTGTTTGGCCGCATTTCCAGTGGAGCGTCAGGACCGACGGCTGCAACATTCTTTCCGGATTGCGGTCCATCCTCACAGTACAATGCCAAAGCAAGCAGTCGCATTTCTGCCCCATACTACACAACGTTTGTTGGCTCCCACCCCTTTTAACTGCCAAGGACAAGCTGGAAGGGGCCCCAAACTGCAACCTCGAGACGCATCTCAGGAGTGTGTGACGTCAAACCCAGCTGGAGCTCAACGCACTGTACACTAAAGTACTGGCTCGGCAGCCAGTTCTGTTCAGGACTATACTACTGACACCCTCGGCCCCACGAACCCCACGCACCCATGCCATTATGCACAGTTGCAGTGGCCGTCGCACCTCCTCGCCCAGCCCTTTCTCGTGCTTCGATGCGGCTTCTGCCAATCTGGCATCATTTACGTTGCCCTAATGTTGCTCATCTATTCGAGCCCGCCCCTGACGCCATTTTTTGCCGGCCCGCCCTGGGTGCTCCTCTTCGGGCGTCGGCGGCGTTTACCTGGTCAACCCTCGAGGCTCGCGGCGCCAGGTACCCCGACCAATGCCTCCCAGCTATGCGGCACCCGCTTGGACACAACTGGTGTTGATCGTCCGTGCTGCAAACCCTTGGCGCATCTGCTGGGCATTCGACTTGCTAGATGCTCATTGCGAAAGCAAAAATGCTCGTTGTGGGGCGACCACGAAATGCTGTGGGGTTTGAAATAAGATTATGGGTGGGGATTGGTGGGGTGGGGGTGGGGTGGGGGGGTGTTCTGGTGATTGCTACGTCCGCCCAGATGTGCTGGGCCTCACTGGCCGCGATTTTGTGGTGGAAGAGACAGCTCAATTTTCCACCGGGCCCCCGTTGGCCATCGTTGGCCGCCGTTGACCGCAGTTGGGCGGATTCCGGGGTGCCTGCGTTTGACGGCACGCGTACAGCACGGCGTCCTGACTTTCTTCTCTGCCTAGCTCTGAGCCCAGGCAAGTTTGTCCCTGTCAATGATATAGCTTCGGACAATTTGCCACAATTGCTGGATGTCCCCGGCCAAAAAATCGGCAGCAAGAACCGGCAGTCGTGTGCCCTTCCATGGAAGAACTCAGGCTGGCCGCGGTGCTGGCGCTGAATTATGACCCAGGGTTGTTTGACCAACGCATCAAAAGTCCCTTTCCATGCTGTGAAAGATTATGTGGGTAGGGGTAAGTGGGGGGATCACTGCTTCCGCCCAGAAGAGCGGGGCCTCACCGTGCCGCGACTTTGTTGATGGGCGTCCTCGCGGTGAGGAATGCACTGCGAGAAGCGTCAGTTTTCCACCTGGGCATCCGCTGGCCGCCGTCAAGGGGCGCCCAGCGGTGCCGGCGTTTGATGGCATGCCCGCAGCACAGCGTCCCAACGTTCGTTCTCCTCGGGGCTCTGAGCGCAGGTACGCGTCTCTGTGGAGTATACAGCCCTTGGAGAGTCCGCTCTTGGAAAGTACTGGAGGCTCCCTCTAGCAGAATGCAGCCGCAAGGTCCTGCAGTCGTGCGCCCTTTTCATGCACGGGCGCAGGTTGACCGCGGTGCGGTCGTCGACCATTGACCAAGGGATGTTTGACCTCCGCATCAGAAGTCCCACAAGGGTTAGAACTGGTAAGAAAAAGCAACATTATATGCAAAGGGCACCCCCTCCAGAGCAAAAGCATGTGAGACTCTGTGCGACAGTAAAAGATGGAGCAGGTTCTCCAGAGCAAGAAGAGTCCCCTTTTGGGACCATGGTCAGAAAGTAAATGTCTCAATAAGTTCACTCCCTTGGAAAAAAATCATGTTAGTCACCACGATTCTGTGGCCAAGTGTGCGATTGTGGCATGACAACAGATGCTCAGCTTTCCCTTGCACGATCGTTGACCACTGTTGACCGTCTATGATGACATGCACAAAGTGCGGCATCATCCCAGCATTTGTTCTCGCACCGCAGGTGTGTGTGCGAATTGAGGACAAAGTGAATCACAAATGGTGCTCATGGGGCCACCAGCAGCAGCTTGGAGGCTCCGATATTCTGTTACAAGTGCTGTGTAAAATGTGTTGAGCAATACTGAACAACGTAGTGCTCTGTGAGTAGATGGCTCCTTTCACCCCCAGGATTTGGGTTGCTGGTATTTCCATAGCATCTGGCATTATAGGGCCTGCGCTATTCTATTTTTTGCTATTTCGGAATGCGTGACTGGTGAAGTCCTCAAAGGGGGACGCCGAGAGGTGATGGCCGAAGGTTGCGTCAAAATTTTCTGGTTCCGGATTAGAATCAGAGGAAAGCCAAACCGTTCATCATCTGTGGGTTATTAAATGATGTTATTGCTGTTTCTCTAGATTATGCAAGCAAGCGCGTGAATGAATATGTCAATGAGTAGTGAGCACATCATTGCAGGACATATTAACCAAGCACTACAGTGGGGCGAGAAAAACATGCTCCAAAGCGATGATTCCCAGTGTGATTTGGCCCACAATGAGACGTGTCAGAAAGACGTATTCCAGTACGACAGTCCGCGATTGGGTACAGTATGATTTGATGGGATGTATGTTGATGCGATGTGCGACGTAATACTGTCCTGCTCCCCAGCAATTGAAATTCACATTCTTGTAAACGATAAACACCGCTTGTGCGGCAGGGAGGAGGGGGATGTGATGCGGCATTAGTTTCTGCTCCCGTGCTCTAAGGTGCTGGATCGCTACCAGGCAAGTGCGTCAGCTAGCCATGGTGAAGGACATGGAAGAAAGGACAAGAACAAGCAGAAAGACAAGAGAGGAAAGGTTAATAAAAGACAAGAAAAATAAGAATAGAAAGACAAGAAATGATGAATGAAAAGAAGAAAGAAGGTGAGTTG